AAAAAAAAAAAAAAAAATTATAACTCATTTGGTTAACACAGCTTACATTATAGGCTCCCCGTTAGCCCCAAGCCAGCGCAGCATCTTCCGGTTTTCCCAACCATGTCCCGAAGTGCAGCAAAAAGAAGAAGAGCCGACCCCAACGTCGTTCGTAACAACAGGAATATTGTAATAGCAGCATCGATGCAAAAAGCACCAAAAAAAGGGAGGGGATAAGACAGCTAGCTCAGCTGAACGCGATGAAAGTAGCGTACACCAAACACCGACGCGTCAGTGCACATTGCGAAAATAACACAAGAAAGATAAAGCCGCGCATGCGCCCGGCCATCCGATGACGTAGTAGCTGGGACCTCTGCCGCGAGGAGCTCTGGGTTGAACGCCGTATACACGCTGTTATGTGATGCTACATATTGGCCCGACCCTCAACTCGAGCTCTCTCTTTCCCTCGTGCAAAATATATAAGTAACAGAAAGAGCGAGCCATGCAACGATTCCATGCAGTGCCCTGCAGCTTGCACCAGATAAGCACTACTTTGCTGCGTATACACATCGGGTATTAAGCGTAAGCGTATATACATACACCCACGTAGTAATATACATATATATGTAATAGGTTAATGTGAGCACAAGCGAAGTGGAAAGAGAGAGAAAAAGCGAGAGCCGACACCCGTAGACCCACTTTATGCCGTCGCGCTGCCGCCGCATTCTCGAGCGTTTCTCTCCTCCTGGCCCGTCTTGCTCGCGCATAATACACACACACACACCCGAGGAACACGTTTTCTGCCCCCTTTCCTTGGCCATACGCCCGTTCGCTCTTCTTATCTCTTCTCCTCCGCCACCCAACATCGCCGCGCCTCTCTTCGCCATAGTAGGTAGGTAGGTATATGCTTTCGTTACCGTTAAAGTGACTCCCCTTTTTTTTTGTTCCTCACGTGTACGTATACACATACACGTGTGCTAAAGTGTTGGACTGGTACGTAGTGGTTTACCAACCAAGCGCATCCTTTTCCGCGAACACACACGTATGTGCGTACAAGTTTCGCGCACATATATAAATGCGAGTTTGCGAACTCGTCCTATATTTCGCTCCGCGTTTACTTGCGCATTAACTTGCTGGTACAGTTTTTTTTTTTTTTTTTTTTTTTTTTCTTTTTTTTTTTTTTTTTTTTTT